TTTGTCATTTACAATTAGTTTCTTCTCTCTTAATTCATTTCTCTTACTATAGAAGAATTGAATACTTGAATTTTTTTTTTTTTTTTGAGAGAGAGAGAGAGAGATTGAGAGAGAGGGAGAAAGAGGGTTGGTGGAAGCGGGAGAGAGTCTGGGAGAGAGTCTTAAGCAGGCTCATGCCCAGTGCAGAACTTCAAGTGGGGCTCGATCTCACAGCCCTGAGATCATGACTGAGCAGAAATCAAGAGTCAGATACTTCTCTGACTGAGCCACCCAGGTGCCCCAAGAATTGAATATTCTTTTTTCTTTTTTTAATTTATTCATGAGAGACACAGAGAAAGAGAGAGAGGCAGAGACACAGGCAGAGGGAGAAGCAGGCTCCACGCAGGGAGCCCGATGTGGGACTCGATCCCGGGTCTCCAGGATCACACCCTGGGCTGAAGGCCGGCTCCAAACTGCTGAGCCACCCGGGGATCCCAGAATTGAATATTCTTAAGTAATACTTTTAATACATAATAGTCAACCCAGGTGGGGAATCTATTTGATTCTTTAAGATGACCACATTTTCCTGGTTTAATCCTGAAAAATATGGCCCTGCCAACCTGTTCATACCTCTTTACCCACTGTCTACCTTCCTCTTGAAATTTTGGCCATACTGATTCCCCTCCCCACTAGTTATAGAGCGTGTAAGAACTATATGGGGTGAAATTGGCAATAAATACATTAATTTCTTTTTATGTCACTTCAGGGCTTTAATCTTTCACATAAATCCCTTGAATTTTAAAACATTTCTGTGAAAAAGACAGGAATTCTCAGTAATGCTAAACATGAGAAACCTGAACTTTGACAGTTAGGAGTTGTCATGGTTCATATAGCCCAGGTTATCTATCTAATGATTGAGGGAAAGCTATACATGCTTATTTTAAGAAATTCAAACAATTCAAAAATGTTCAACAAATATAACAGGAAACCCAAACCAATAAATCCTTAAATATTTATAAACCTTCCTGGTAATTCTCTATACAGCCATACATATTTATATATATACTAGTAACATTTTGTGTACATGGTAGTTCAGTTCTTTTGGTTCAAGTAGAGAAATAACACAGCCATCAATAATTAGAATATGAAGTACAGAGTGAAAGGCTTCAAAGGAAGAAAATAAGAATGTAGTTAAAGATGACTCAGGAGCAGCTAGCCTGGGTTTCTGGGAAGAAAATGCAGCTATTCAAACAAGAAGGGAGGGATCCCTGGGTGGCGCAGCGGTTTGGCGCCTGCCTTTGGCCCAGGGCGCGATCCTGGAGACCCGGGATCGAATCCCACGTCGGGCTCCCGGTGCATGGAGCCTGCTTCTCCCTCTGCCTGTGTCTCTGCTCTCTCTCTCCTCTCTCTCTCTCTCTGTGACTATCAAAAAATAAATAAAATAAAATTTAAAAAAAAAAAACAAGAAGGGAGCCTGGAAAGGGAATATAAGACTGCAAACTAAAAAAATAAAAATAAAATTAAAAATTAAAAAAATTAAAGATCGCAAACTGATCCATTGTGAACTTTGATTAGCCACTGGGACACTTAAGTGCCTTTACTTCCACATGGAAGTAGACCTACAGAATAGATTCTATAATCATTTATATATAGTCTAGTGGAAGTCCTGAAATCACCCAAGGAGGGAACAGATGGCAGCCAGGGCTGGTTTACAGGGAGCATCTGAGTCACTCAGGGGTGGAAATGAGAAATAAATTATTTCGTTAGAGATTAAAGAGATTAAATAGCAACATATTCCTTACTATTACAGACAGCTAAGGACAATAACAAACAGCCATTTATTAGCACAAAAAGATGCATAATGTGTATTTGGTAATTTAGCAATACTCAGAGGCTGGATCCAGCTAACAGAAGATTCAATTATGCCATATAATTGTTTTTAGTTAATGAGACAAGATAGGAACAAGAATTCCTACTAAAATCACTGTAAAGAAGATGTATAATTAATAGGTAAAGGACCACTGCTTGGAGAAACTTAAGAGAAAAAAAGTATCCACTGATTATAAAATTCAATACTATTAACAACTCAAGCCAATATTGTTTAGGAAAACAAGGTGGCTACATTTTTCACTCATACATCTTTTATGTTTGTCACAAATGCTTTGAGGAAATAAGTGGTTTTAGCTTTTTCCTTCTGTAACATTTTGTACTACAGAAAATTTACTAGGATCATTCACCTAGTGATTTACTTTTGTCCCTTCAAAGAAAGAAAACTTTAACATTTTGGTAAACAAATTAAGGCAATATATATTCAGATTTAAGTACTCTAGTTTCGGGACACCTGGGTGGCTCAGTGTTTGAGCGTCTGCCTTCTGCTGGGGGAGTGATCCTGGAGACTCAGGATTGAGTCCCACATCGGGCTCCCTGCATGGAACCTGCTTCTCCCTCTGCCTGTTTGTCTCTGCCTCTCTCTCTCTCATGAATAAATAAATAAAATCTTTAAAAAAATAAAAAATAAGTACTCTAGTTTCATTTAAAGAAAAACTGTGAGGGAGACCAGTGGTGCTCAAATCAGGTATCATAAAATCACCTGGAGGGTTTGTTAAAACACAAACTGCTAGGTCTTCTTAGAATTTCTCATTCAGCAAGAATGGGTGGATCCAAGATTTTGCATTTCTAACAAGTTCCCAGGTGATCTGATGTTCCTAGATTAGAGACTACACTTTGAGAACCACTAGTTTAGAAGGACATGTTTCTTGCCCATCTTCCATTGTTCTTTGAGTTTTCTTAGAACTTTTATTTCCTCCAGAGTAGTTCACTGAGGATCAGATATATCCAATCCTTATTGCCCTTAAAATTAGAAAAAAAAAAAAAAAAAAGACAAAAAAGCACAGTGCCATTTGCCACAAGCCCTACCTCCACAGGCAAGATTTCCCATTTCTCAGCTAGTGACTTCTGTAGTTTTACGACTCCAATGGTAATTTTTGTCTGCATTTCTCATCATACTGAACCAGTGCAACACAGGCTATTCCACCATTTATGTAAGTGTGTGTGTATGTATGTGTGTGTGTATATATATATATATATATATATATATATAATTTTTATGTATTTTTCCTCCCCATTCTTATAAACTGCTAGAGGGCAAATCTCTGATCCTTGGGCTTTCTGGCACCTCCATTGCTAAACATGTTTTAAACCGAGTTCACCGTGTGTTTGAGGCTGAGAGCGGCCAAGTGTGGAGACCAATAACGCAAGAGCTGGCCTATCTGTGGGGAGCTGACATAGTATTTCTTCTCTCAACCACGTACACAGCCAATTTTATCTGTAAAATTATAAGCCTAGAATGCTGAAAAAAATCCTACTTGCGTGTAACAGCTGCAAAACTATAATTAGGCTTAAGGATAATGTGAACCTACCACATTTTAATCCAAATCAGGACAATTTAGTAGTGCAGAGAATGGTTTACTGCATTCTCTACCAAGCTGATATAGAACAACCTACTTCATCAAAAATTGTGCTTTCTGTATTGATGGGTGTTTTCCTACGGGTCTCTACAACAGGCTCTTAACAGAAAAAGTCACATACCTGAAGTAACTGTATTTCAACGAAAACATTGCAAAGATACAGAGGCAGCATCTATAAAAGCCAAGCTGATGGGGGAACAGAGGACTGGCTGAGGACAAACCACAAGCCTGGGCCGCACATTGACAAGTCCTTGAAACAGGCAGGACATTCCTCTACGGACTCGACTCAACTCCCTCGATGTTAATACTTTGCTAAGAGCAAAAGGCCCTCTTAGCCCATCCCCCAAGACCCTGTGCATCTAATTTAACAGTAAAACTCCTTCAGAAATTTCCTTATCTCCTAACCCACTGAAAGATACGTGTTGGCAATCATCCCCCATGCAGATGGCCCACTGATACACATCTGAAGCGTCTCAGGACAAAGGTTTTATTAGACGGTAATAAATGACCTTTTCCCCAAAAATAGCTGGCCCCCTCAAGGTTCTGGAGACCTTGCTTCCAAAATTCCTTAGAGAGGACGCTATCCTCAAACCCCTCTCAGCTCCCAGGGATATAATCAACTACCCCTCACAGGCCCTGGGCAGCAGCTTTTCCTGCCCACGGGTCCTGTCCCCTTGCTTTAATAAAACCGTTTTGCACCAAAGACGTCTCCATTCTTTCTTGGTTGTTGGCTCTGGACCTCACCCCACCAAACCTCTAACCTATATTCCAAAACTTCAAAGTAGACTATATAACCATTATCATGGAAGCAAGTCTTCAGGAGTTATCTCCTCTTAAGTCTTTGACTTAATTCTCTCTTGGATATAGCATTTTAAAAGTATACTCTTAAGCAGACAATATGCCAACTTGTTTGAAAACCGCACTGATGAGCTCACATCTGACCTCATACTCTAGGTTTGATTTTTGAATGGTTGAGGACTGGTCTTAGGCTTTCAGTGCTCATGCACTGTTTGGGTTAAAGATACAGATCACAGAACGGCACCCAACGTTAAGAGGGCCCTTAGGCCATCTAACCTCCCACGGTCTTGCTGTGGATGGGAGTGAAAAACAATTGAGGCTTAGAACCATCGGGTAGCCTCTCTGGATTCCGAGCTGTGCGCTAACCCCCGCCTTTGCCCAAGCAAACGTAGCGAATTAGATGGTTTAACCTTCACCCTGGACTTCACGGATTCTGCCTTCCACAGCCCGACCCAACAATCACAAGGACAGCGCGCCTAGAAGCAAGGAGATACTGCTTCATCTGGAGAACTGGAGCGTAAAACAAGGTTCAAAGAGCCAATAAACATGAAGTGGTAACTCCTAAAATCTCCAGGGCAGTTAACGCTTTGAGCACCATTCCCTCCCGCCAACCTAACTCGACTCCAGCTCGACTCTCCGAAGCAAGGCTGACCTTAGAAAGGCCAGTTCTACCAGGTGCCCAGCTCTTCTGAAGACAAAATGGTTGGCCCTGAAAAGGGCCGTTGGCATCGATCTACGCAGGGCCGGAGCGGCAACTCAGCCCCCAAAGCCGTACAGGGTGCGGCCTTGGCGCTTAAGCGCGTACACTACGTCCATAGCGGTGACCGTCTTGCGCTTGGCGTGCTCCGTGTAAGTGACAGCATCCCGGATCACGTTCTCCAGGAACACCTTCAGGACACCCCGAGTCTCTTCGTAAATGAGACCCGAGATCCGCTTCACTCCGCCACGCCGAGCGAGGCGCCGGATGGCCGGCTTAGTAATGCCCTGGATGTTGTCTCTCAGGACCTTACGATGACGCTTCGCACCACCTTTGCCTAGACCCTTACCACCCTTCCCTCTCCCAGACATGGCAGCCGCAGTGTGAAGACACAGCCTCTGGCGTCGGCACACTGGCTGTCCCCCTAATATACAAGACTGCCGGACCAGATTGAGAACAGAACGCGCGCGGCAGGAAGCCCGCCCCGCGTCGACCCCGCCCGCCGGGCATTGCGTCATTTCCTGCCTGCCGTGTTCCCGTCCCGCTGCGCCCCCACCTCCACCCCGCGGCTCCCTCTAACCGCTCCTACTTCAAGGATATTGGCTGCAGCCGCCGCCAGAAGATAGATTCCAGCGGAGGGCTTCCGAGTTCTGCTGCCGCTGCTGCTTTCGCCTTTGTCTCTGTACGTTTGTGGACTCCCCAGGCCAATTAGCTACGCAGAAAGGTCTTCGTGGCGGGAAAAGACCAAAGGAAGAGTGACCGGAGCCGAGAGACGGGAAGAAGACGGCGCCAGCGCCGGGCCATCAGGAAGGGAGGGTCACAGCTCCTGGAGCGCGGTTACGTGAAACTGCGGCAAGAGCAGGTCCGATCACTTGGCCCACCCAGAAGGCGATGCCGGGAGCAGCCGCACCTGGGGTGCTGGCGGGGCGCGGGGAGGAGAGATCGCCCTAATATCTCGGCCTGGTCTGTTTGTTGGTATGGGGCGAGGAGAAATCGTATCCTAGGAAAATTGGTCGTAGGAGTGTATTTGCAAGCCTTCTCATGGGGCTCGGGGAATCCAACGCACTGCATCCAAAGCTCTGCCAAAGAAGCGATATATCCAGAATAGAAGGCAAGGGTATTCCATGTCTCCGTTTCTACAAATCCGCTAAACGACTCTGCTCTCCGCCAGAAATCAGAAACCAAATTGTGCCCCCATTGAGGCCCCACGTGAAGTTAGCAAAGTTTGCTGAATTGGTTATCTCCAGGGGAAATCTCCATTTTTGAAAGTCCTTACCGGAAACCGCCCTATGAAATTGATTGGAGTCCTTCAGTGATAATGGGTTTGTTACTTTACCACGGCCTTCTGTAAGGGGAGTCCACCAGAAGACGTGGTTTCTGCTTCAGAAAGCCCTTTTTTTCTGAGGGATGTGTATTATCTTTTTTTTTTTTTTTTAAGGAATATATTCATGAGAGACCCAAAAAAGAGAGGCAGACACAAAGGCAGAGTTTCTTGCAGGCAGGCACTAAACCGCTGAGCCACCCAGGGATCCCCAGATGTGTATTATCTTAAATTTTATATCTTTTTCTCTCCTGGCTCTATCTTCTATATGCTAGTGAATCCCAATACTATATCTTTATCCAGACCTCTGGGCACCAGACATACAGATCTTCCTGGTGGTTCTTTAGTCATTTTAAACCCAAAAAAATCTCAGAATGCTTGAACTTCAAAGTTGCAAGGTGTGACTCTAATGGAGTCTGAGGGAATTCCTTCTCTTCTTCCCCAGCCTAAACCATGTTGTCTGCTCAGTGGATGTTGCCAGCCGGCATCACTTAATCCACACCGTGGGATTCACACTAAATGTTGGTTACAAACATTAAATGAAAGGAATTTGGAGAAAGAAGGTATATTTTAAAAAGTCTTTCTCTTCCAAACAGGCTGTATATTACTGGCATTCTGAGCCTTCTGTTCTAATTTTCCCCATAAACCAGAGATAGTGTCATACTAACATCTGTGGCCAAAGTAATTTCTACTGAAAAATATATATATATAACCTTTAAAAATCTTTGCACTGTGTATCTTAAATCTCATGAGAATGTGAATAGAATAAAATACATATCATTTGTATAGCTTTAAAGTACTCTGTGTAGGGGTGCCTGGGTAGCTCAGTAAGTCTTTTTAAAAAAACTCCGTGTGTAACATATGACCTGAGCCTACTGCATTCATTTGGGATATGTTGCATCGGAAAGCCAGATGTATAAGTTTGTAGGGAAGGGAAGACTTCCTTCTCCCTTTTAGAGTCTGTGGCTGGACCTAAGAATTAAGTTCATGTAAGACTGACCAAAAAGAGAAAAAAAAAAGTATATATTTTAATATTTTTATGTGTAAACAGGAGTCTTCAGAAGGAAAATGAAGACCTGAAGAAGCTAACAGAAGGCCTGGAAGGTTATCTATACCTTTTAAAACAAGGAATGTGACAAGACAGAGGGGCTTGGGCTAGAGACAGTAAGTTGTGGGACAGTGATGGGGAAACATAAGGGGGAAACTAATGGAAGATAAGGTTTATTTGAGTAGATTTGTTCATAACAGATCCATGTCAGCACTGCCTCCCAGGCTCATAATAAGAACGTCTTCTTCCTGGCTGGGAGGGTACCTTTCTCATGGGAAATTTTAGGAGCTACTTTTAGGTTGGAAAGGGGGACGTCAGAGCCCCCCCCCCCCACACACACACACTGTATCTGTTGATTCAAGTAACTTCGGCTCCAAATAATTAATATACTGAAGTGGCATATTTGGGGGTGGTATGTTCTAAACCCCTGCAAGCTGAAATCTGCTGTAGAGGAGGCAACGTTTTATCTCTACCCTCTTAGCGTTTTTGGCTGAGTCTGATAATTAAATTGACACAAGACCAATTCACCCGAGAAAAGCATACACGTTTATCTGCTCAAAGTTTACTTGACATTGGAGCCCTTATAAGGAAATGAAGACTCAAACAAGCACTTAGAGTTGACTGCTTATGTGCTGAACTGGACAGAGTGGTAAATCATGAAAATGTCACAAGAATGGAAGGGCTTCAGCCAGGGCAATGAATGGTGGAAAAATAGGAAGATGAAGGTTAGTTTAACAAAATGTGTTTCCACAGCTTTCTCTTGGCTTCAGCTCCCTATTCTAGGGGAAAAGAATGTTATTCTCCCCCTGGTGTAGGGAAGACATCTTCCATATGGGGGTTTTACCTCCTGTTTTTAGGAAAGAAAAAGCAGAGCACACTTCTTGCACCTTCCGTTTTTTCAAGTGTCTAGCTCAAAATAATGCATGTGCCAAAGTGGCATAATTTAGGGGTGGCATATGCTGACACTGATGGGGTTCAGGACATGCTACCCCCAAAACATGGCACCTTAGCATATTAAATATTTTGAGCTGAAGAACTCTTGAGAAAAAGACATAAGCGGGAAGGTCACTCTAACCTCCCCCCACCCCCCCAAAGCCTTTTCTCCCTTGAAACAGGTTATAAAAGTCTCCTGTGCCTTTTCTATGCGATTAGAGGGATAGAGAAGGAGGAAAGGAGCATCTTTATCTTTAAAGACAAAGGGACTTACAGAAAATTTTAATAAACAGGTCTTGCTGCCTCCCCTGGTTTACTAGACTTACCTTGTACTCCTTCACCTACTCCATTTCTGCAGGAGCACCTGTACTTCATCAAACACAGCTTAGAAATACTCAGGTCTGTTTCTTTGGATGTTCATTTCCTTATGAAGTTCCTTGCTTTACATAAAACATATCAAATAAATTTGTGTGCTCTTCTGCTGTGATTCTTTGTTGGTTTAATTTACAGACCTAGCCAGGGACCCTAAGATGACTGAGGAATACTTTTTCCTCCCCTATGCCACCTGTCATTGTACAGTACAAGTAGTAGTGTTAAGGTAAAAAGGGGAAGTTTATATCCAATGAGCAAGGTGTTGAGGGAAAGCTCAGAATGGAGCTAAGGAAAGGAGCTCAAAATCCCATGGCTTCTGAATTTGGTTCAGGGCTATTGGCCTGAAAGGAAGATGAAATCATTTCACTCATGTGGAATTTAAGAAACAAAACTAACAGAGAAAAAAGAGTGAAACAAACCAACAACAGACCCTTAACGGTAGAGAACAAATCAATGGTTACCAGAAAGGTGAGGCAGTGCTGGGTGAAATAGGTCAAGAGCATCCAGCAGTGTATGGAATTGTTGGATCACTATATTGTACACCTGAAACTAATAACACTGTATGTTAAACTGCACTGGAATTAAAATTTAAAAATTAAAATTAAAAACAACCAAGATGAAAGGAAATCAGGGACATGGCTTGACCAACCCACGAACCAAAGATTCAGTCTTATCTTGGGGGTACTTGAAGCCCTGGGGGTGCCTGCAGTCAAAGACTGTATACAAACTGTCTTCCTGGAACATATAGTCCATTACTTTTTTGATAAAACAAACATGCACGTAATGTTATATTTTTCTTTTACTTGTTTATTTCCTATAGCATATTTTAAGGTTTATATGTTCCTTCCCCCCACTCTCAGCCCTCAATAATGAAACTTTAAGGCTCAGTCTGGAAACTGCAGGTTCTTATTTTTGGTGAAAGCAACTTCAGAGATATTAGTAGGAGATAAATACTCCCTTTTTCCCACAGCAGCAGCAAAACAGGTTTTTCTGCATTGTCAACGGACTTCTGATAGTGTTTTGAGAACACAAGAGTCATTTGTCCAGTGTGGAGACTAGGTGAAATCAAAGGATTATTGCTCTGAATTCTGTTAATGGTGACTTCTAAGTATTGGGGAGCAAGAATTTCCTGTCCCTTCCAAGGTCCTACCCAGACTAACCATCAAAATGACATGAGACAGATTAACCAGAGAAAATCAAGTTTAATTTTGTATGTACAAGGAATCCACATGGAAACATGGAAATTCCAAAGATAGGTAAAATGAACTAAGGAGAAGGGGTAGAGGTCTGGGACGTCAAAAGGAAGAAATGCAATTTACAGGAAGATGAAAAAAAGTGGGACATTGAAGACTGATCAAACAGGCCTTGCTAGGTTCCTCCTGGCTACCTCACCTAGTCCATTGTGTAATGTGGTTATCCATGGTGATAGCGCTCTTCCTAGACCAAGTCTTCTACCTAAGTTCTTACCAGGTAGTTGTGGGGAAGGAAAAGAGCTTTTCCTGAATCTGCTGGGTTTTGATTGCCTTTTAAACTCATAGTAATCTTCATGCCTGCACTTGGCATCTGTAAACTACAGATTGTTCTCTTCTGAGAATAGCCAGGGGACTTGAAATTTTCTTATTCTCTGTATTATAAAGGCAAAATACATCCCATGATGGTTAGATTCTATATGAATATACATTGTAGGGGAGCAAAATTTTGCTCCCCCGAAATGTGTTTTTTTGGCCTGTGGATTATTTTAGCCTGATTATTTCTAAGAAACAGAAGACTCAAAGAAGTTTTTGTTTTTGCCTCCCTCACAACTGCTTAAAAGAATTTAGATAGAGGACCTGCTCTAGGAAGGGAACTATCACTATAGATAACGACTGTATAATATTACCTGGGTGTGGTAGATGGGGAGGAACCTAGCAAAGTCTGTTTGCTAAAATTCCTTCCTATACCCCATTGTTTCTGAGTGGCCCGGCAAACATTTGTTTACCAAAAATTTCCTCATTTTCATTTTCTTGTGATGGTCTTTCTTCCCTCTGCACTCCCAGACCCCAATCCCTTTCTTAGCTATGGATGGCATATAAGCCTCAGTTGCCTGACTGCCTGGGGGCTTCATATTCTTATATGATTTTCTCCTCTTAATCAGTCTCATGTCAATTAAATTCTTAGACCAGCCAAAAAAGCTTGAGGGGTAGAGCAAAGTTTTTCCTCCCTGACAGCAGCTTGAGTATCTTATCTAAATGAATGCCATGGCCAAGAATGCACATGTTAAAAAAGAACTCTGCAAAGAAATGTGGACTGCTTTGGGCTGTCATCCAGACCCCCATGTGGTAGTTTCCTCTTTTGATGGTAATAGTTTAGTGGAGGAATTTGAGAAACACTGAGAAATCTGATGGCACAGTGGGAAAATTCTCCTTTGCTTTAAAATGTACTGCAAGCCTGATGAAACTGAAAATCTATGATGATTTCATTCTTTTGCTTTAGAATATTATGCGGGCCTTCTTACTTGTCCGGGACAAGCCATAGTTTTTCTGAGACTATTTCTTTATCTGTGAAATGAGGAAAGTAACATCTACTTCACAGAGTTGGGATTAAATGAGATAGTGTATGTAGAAGAATTGTTAAATACTGAGTAGTGCTGTCTATACATTAGTAATTATTACAAAACAACCACAGGAGAGGGTAACAGTTGTTTCACATCAGTTATATTTTTGCAGGACATCTTAGGTCTCCCTAGAGCAGGGGACTTGTGCTGTCCAGGGGACTCTTGAAGACATAAAGATAAATTTCTAGGTTGTTTAGTGTTCAGGAAATCTCAAAATAACTTTTATTTTGCCTTCAGGAGGAAAATGATCATATTGATACCATAAAGTATAAGCTTGTTGGGCCTGATTTTTTCCACAGGTTTGAGGTTTTATAATGTTTGGATGCAATAGTTTTTCAATAGAATGAGCATATGATTGAAAGTTTTATATTAACTTCACAATTTGAAGATGGTAACCTTACATGACTGTTTTATGACACACAATTTTTCTGAGCAATACTTCAAAGCAAATAAAATAATTAAAAAGCAGAGGATATTCAATTTCCCTATAGAGAATAGAAAACTTTAAGTTGAAACTTTTAAATGAAGCTACTTTATTGAAGAAAATGCTATAACTCCGTAATCAACGAATAGTTGATTTGCTTTGTTTAGAGCGTTTAATCTGATTGATAAGCAAGTTGACTATTCAGAAACTATTCACCATTGTGAAGGAGAAATTAACGTTCCAGGACGTATATTCCTTTATTTAGAAGCGTTTGGCCTACAGGTCCTAATTGGCCATTGATGGATTGAGAGAAGGGAACCGCATTCCAAGGCGAAAAAGCTCAAGAAAAGCGGAAGGCTGTACTTTGCAAGTTGGTGCTAATCAGTACACGACTCCGAGTAGTTAAGAAGTTAAACTTAAATCAATTTTTGGTTCCTTCAACTACATATTTTGTTGAGTCACCGTCATACTGTAATGCAACTAACGCGCTTAGCAGCGTCAGGCGCCGAAGAAATGTTAGCTACGGGCTTGGAGTTACAGTAACGATTAACTGGAAATAGCAAGGCTGAAACCTAGTTCATGGGTAGGCTTTTATTTCGAAGGAATCTGTTATATTTTAAATTCCAAGCTTGCAAAAACACTTAAAAATTGCGCTTACCAAAATGACACCAACTGAAAGGAAAGGTCTAAAAAGAAAAACAGCTGGTCTGGGATCGCTAAGATTACAGAAAAGTACGGAAAGGTGACTGTAGGGAAAAGATTAGCATAACAATCTACCCGAATAAATAGGATTGAATCCTGGCCAATGAGATCGCAACCTGGAGGTTCCTAACCCTCCCGGCCCAATCAAGACAGGGCTACATCTATAAATAAGACTGCCGAGCGCTTCTTGAATAAAGCGGGTAAGGCGCCATGGCTCGTACGAAACAGACCGCCCGCAAGTCGACCGGCGGCAAGGCCCCGCGCAAGCAGCTGGCCACCAAGGCGGCCCGCAAGAGCGCGCCCGCCACGGGCGGCGTCAAGAAGCCGCACCGCTACCGGCCGGGCACGGTGGCCCTGCGCGAGATCCGGCGCTACCAGAAGTCCACCGAGCTGCTGATCCGCAAGCTGCCGTTCCAGCGGCTGGTGCGCGAGATCGCGCAGGACTTCAAGACGGATCTGCGCTTCCAGAGCTCGGCCGTCATGGCGCTGCAGGAGGCGAGCGAGGCCTACCTGGTGGGGCTCTTCGAGGACACCAACCTGTGCGCCATCCACGCCAAGCGCGTCACCATCATGCCCAAGGACATCCAGCTGGCGCGCCGCATCCGCGGGGAGCGGGCCTAGAGCCTCGTTTTATCAGAAGGCCGCCTAAAGGCTCTTTTCAGAGCCACCCATGGTTTCACGAGGAGCAGCTGTACCGGCTTCCCGCCTAGTGCGGGTCGTGCCTTGGTGTAGGGGATCGAGGGATCGGGGGAAACTCGCACGTGTTGGGTAGGGGGGTGCTGGAATCCGGCCTGACTTTCGGACCGGCGCGTTAAGGGAACAGCTGAACGGCTTATGTCCTACGTCGTTCTTACCAAACCTGCCCTTAATATGCCGCGTTGAAGTCTAAAGCAACAACCTTATTTCTGTGAGGAAACTTGCCGGAGGGAGGACCCTGCTCTACCGGTCGTTTGTAACGTTACAAGCTGCTGCCACGGAATACGTAGTACGAATCCAGATGCAGAAATGAAGTGAGGAGGCCCTCACGTGTCTTAGTGTTAGTTCTAAGAACCAGGTCCCTGTCTACATGTTGAAGTCTTGTCTTGGAATGACCTAGTACCGAATACCTTCCTCATTGCATAATGTAAGCGGCGCAAACAGGAATAGGAATTTGAGGGAGCTACCTGATTTCTCTTTTGAGATAGGAGTTTAGGTATTCTAAAAACCAAAAGCAAAACGAGCTTCCACAATGCGTAGGGGAGTCAAACGGTGCAAAAATAAGAAAAAGTTGCCTTTGGCTGTCTCTTCAGATCTCTACGTACGCAAGTCTACGACTGAAAGGTGAAAACCATCCCCAAATATCTCAAACAGGTGATACTGTACTTTTGCATAATTTATTGGCTGAGTCTGGGATGGCACACTTTGATTGGCTAGGACGGCATTTACTCTGCTAGCCACTAGGGAAGTGCGAGCCAAGCTATTATTTACGTGGACTCCACCCCTCTGTGACGATAATGTTGGAAATTAACCAATAAAAGTGCAGTCCTGTGCGAGCCTTCATTTGCATACAGGCTCTATAAGTAGCACGTAATCAAGCCCTTTGGAAGTAGTCCGGATCGGTTTTGGTGTGTAAGCGCTGCTATTTGCAAAAATGCCTGATCCAGCAAAATCGGCTCCCGCTCCCAAGAAGGGCTCCAAAAAGGCTGTCACGAAGGTGCAAAAGAAGGACGGCAAGAAGCGCAAGCGCAGTCGCAAGGAGAGCTACTCCGTCTACGTGTACAAGGTGCTGAAGCAGGTGCACCCCGACACCGGCATCTCGTCCAAGGCCATGGGCATCATGAACTCGTTCGTCAACGACATCTTCGAGCGCATCGCCGGCGAGGCCTCCCGCCTGGCGCATTACAACAAGCGCTCCACCATCACCTCCCGGGAGATCCAGACGGCCGTGCGCCTGCTGCTGCCCGGCGAGCTGGCCAAGCACGCCGTGTCCGAGGGCACCAAGGCCGTCACCAAGTACACCAGCTCCAAGTAAGGGCGTGCAAAGGACGCAGTAGAGAGGCTACTTCACCCCAACGGCTCTTTTCAGAGCCACTTAGTTTGTCACAGAAAGGGGCTGTAAGCACTCGCTGAAACACTTGAGCTTTTGGGTAGGCGGGGTGGGCCTGTGATCTCGGGAGCGTTTGGGTATGGCGCTAGGTTAGGACGGTGGTTGTCAGAATCTGGAATCTCCCGGAGTGCGATGGTGCCACCTAGTGGCCCGGCTCTTGCTAATAAACTAGTTTTCGAAGTGATTTTTTTTTTTTTAAGGTTTTATTTATTCATGAGAGACAGAAATACAGACAGGGAGAAGCAGGCCCCCTGTGGGAAGCCGAATGTGGGATTTGATCCCAGAACTCTGGGATCATAATCTGAGCCACCCAGGCGCCCCTCGAAGTGACCTTTTACTTAGATCTACAGAGTCCGCAATGGGAGCTTAGGTACCAGTAACCGAGCAAGCAGGTTTAATGAAGAAAAGTTTTTATTTGGGGGAGGGGCTGCTGTTCGACTTGGGTTTCTTTGCCCATAAACTGAGCAGGTTTCCTTAAGTGAGCTGAACTTGTTTTCAGCGTGCGGATGGAAATCTCCGTTCCCCACTCTCCACCGCTTTAGTGTCCTGCTTATTAAAAATTTCTGGGTATCTCCAAACCCAATGATGCCCTATGCTTTAGTCCTTTGGTCTACCCGTAAGTACTGACCCTAGCAATCCTTGCCTAACTTTCTCAGCCTAATGTCTTAGCCAGATAGGGATTTTTTTTTTTTTTTTTTTTTTTTTTTTTTTGCCTCTCATCCCTTGGGACACTTTAATTGGATGCTAACTGGCATTTAGTGGTTAAAGGCCAGGGGTGCTGCTTAACAAACCCTAATGCATGGGGCAGCCCCGCAGCCAAGAATTCCTCTAACATCAGTCCTGCAGCGGTTGGCCGACCCAGCACCCTGGCTTCCTTTCCGTCAGGATTTAATTTTCATTTGGGACAAACCTCATCACCTAGCCAACATTACTGCTCTTGGTGAAAGCTGAGCAGAACCAATTTACTGTGATTGCTTACACTCCACAGGAGATGCTCTCTTCAGGGCAAAGAACTTGTTTCCTCTAACCATTTCCTGGTTCTAAGAGCCACCTTGGTGCTTGGTAAACATTCCCTGGTGCTTCTGAAGTTTCCTGATAGGTTGGAAATGAGGGTTGGGGAGGTGGTTTTTAGTGTTCCCAGACGTATTTTAAAAATGCTTGGGGTGCATGATGTGCAAATGGCCACAGTTAAAAGGAGATGAATTTCTAAAGATCCCTTAGTTCAAAACTTGCATAACTCAAGACCTTTTGACAGGCTGGTGAATGTTTTACCAAGTAAAACATACCCTTAAAGTAAAAGGACTTAGTTTCCAGTTCATTTGTCAAGCTTTGAAACTAAGTTTTTTTTTTTTTTGAAACTAAGCTATTCTTGATAAATTTTAAGGAATTTGCTTGACAAGTTTGCTTTAAATGAATTTTATTTATAATGGAAGAATTCAAACAGATCCAATTAAAGCTACAAAAAAAGGGCTGAATATGATTTATTTTTTTCACTGGAAAAAAGATTTTCCGAGTCATTTTCCCTGGCGAGGGGAATGATTAACTGAGAATTTTAACTTCGCAGTGAAAGAAATCTTGTACAGCACACTTTATAGTAGGGAAAATTAATAAGGGAAAAGGCGAGGGTGGTCTATTTTCTCAAACCATCGGAGACACTGTCTGGTCTCTCCTAGGATCCTGAAGGATCTCTTTTCCCTGAGGACTAGTGACCATGTTTCTCTTTCTCTTGGCCTTTGGAAGTTGTTAAAACATCAATTGGCTCACCTAATCAAAAGCTATCAATTACTCATGAGGAAAGGATAAACTCCAACACCTCATCCTGAAACCACAGCCTTTTGCCATCTGGCCAAAATTTCCCTTCAGTTGTTTGTCTTCCTCAGATCTATGGCATAGCCAAAATCCAGTACACACTGTCCTATAATGCCTCTGAAGTTCCTCTTCCTTTGTGCTTTTGTTGGGTGGTCCTCCTTTAAACCGTAGTACTGTCTTGCTCTCAACTACTCGAAGCCTGTCGACCTACCAGTTCTTCAAAGTGTTGCTCAAATCTCCTTGAAGTCTTCCCATCCCATTCTAGGTCACAGGAAGTCTTTCTCCTTTGAACTCTTAAGGCTTTATTCCTTATGCAATGAATTTGCAATTAACTGTAGCTTTGCGAACAATATAGCCTCCTTCCTCAATTCCTTTTTCTTATATTTTCTTGTGTTTGTCTTCCATTAGACGGGGTTTACTTAAGAAAGAAAACAAAACTCTCTGTGTGACTATCATAAATAAATAAAAAAAAATAAATAAAATAAAATTTTTTAAAAAAAGGGATCCCTGGGTGGCGCAGTGGTTTGGCGCCTGCCTTTGGCCCAGGGCGCGATCCTGGAGACCCGGGATCGAGTCCCACGTCGGGCTCCCGGTGCATGGAGCCTGCTTCTCCCTCTGCCTGTGTCTCTGCCTCTCTCTCTCTCTCTCTGTGTGTGTGACTATCATAAATTAAAAAAATAAAATAAAATAAAAAAAGAAAACAAAAAAAACTTCTTGGGAACTTTCACAAAGTTCCAGTGTCCATTGTAAAATAGCATCTCGGGGCCCCTGGGTGCAACGGACTCTTGGCTTTGGCTCAGGCCATGGGCTCAGCCCACAGTGGGGCTCTGCACTCAAGCGGCTGAGTCTGCTTGAGATTCACTCTCCTCCTTCCCCTTCTGCTCCTCCCCCCAACTCGAGCTCTCTGTCAAATAAAATCTTTCAAAAACAGAATCTTGGTGAATGTTTGTTGACTGATTGCCCAGACCACAGAATGCTTGGAAACTGGTCTGAAGCTGGTAAATTCACATACTCCGATAAGCTTTTTTTCTCCACTTTTTCCTAAATTTTCTTGGTCCTTTAATCTGAAACATTTATTATAATTACTGACCCACTTAAAAGAACTATTGGAGATTAAAAACTCCTAAAAGGGACAGATAGAGTACTGTACTTGAGTGCTTCCCTTCATCCAATGTATCTAGGTGGCCAAAACAATGAGATTCCACTGGAGCTTTTTCGGCCTAATTCAGATGCTGCTTTTTTTGGTGTTGCAAACAAGGGTGAGGAGGGAGATGCATTCCAGAAGACAAAAAAAAAAAAAAAAAAAAAAAAAAAAAGGTAGTATGAAGATAAGGAGCTTTAAACATCAGATTGAGCATTGCAAATGGGCTTGGTCTGGGTCAGGTCAAATGTTATTAAAATTGGGTAGTCATTATTTCAAGGACTGGTAAAAGGATTGTGGTATCTATGTAAACTTACAAACAGGATAGTTTAATCTTGTCATAATTTTTAGATACCTCATTTTAAAACGGTTCATTTCCTACAAGTGATCTAAGAGTCAAAGCATTTACAAAGCATTTAATTCAAGCACAGGACAACAGGTGGGAAATACATTATATGATCTCTTTGGGGGTATAAAAGAAGGAGGTACAAAAGAATGTCAATCTTTAATAAGGAAGGAACAAGATGGTTTTAGAGAATTACTAAGTAGTGAAGTTTTTTGTTTTTTTTTTTACATTTTGTAACGAGCTGAACCATCACATGACTTGGCAAAAATTGAAAACGATGAAAAGTTTTTAGATCCCGTACTGTCAACATGAACAAACTTTTGAAATATAAACGCAGGGCATGTTTTCTTTTAATGTGTGATCAAATTAATATATCAAACATATAATATTAGCAAAGCAATGAGATGCATACAAAGATGTAAATACATCTAATAGATGAGATTACACCAGTATAAAAATAATTAGAATTCAAGGCAAAATGTGTTATTCAGAAAAGAGAGTTAAGGAAATGTTATGAGTTAAGGAGAATGATAGTTTGCATCTGGCCAGAGGGTTCAGGAACACTCCATGAGGAGAACTTACATGTGTCAAGTCCTATAAGGGTGATAGGGATATATAGGTGTCTTCCTCCCCAAGTCTATGAGGTTCACCTGGAATATTATTTGTAACCAATATATCAAGTGTCTCCTGGGAATTTTTTTTAAGTTTTAGTTTTAGCCAATTTTCTGGATAACCTCTTTCAATTTTTTAATCATCTGATTTGGGTAGATGAAATTCTCCATCATTCTATATTCTGTGACTAGAGGCCATTAATTCTATACTCCTACCCAGGTTGTAGCATTTTCCTTTGTAATATATCTCTTCTAAAAAAAAATTTTTTTTTAAAGATTTTATTTATTCATGAGAAACCCAGAGAGGTAGAGACATAGACAGAGGGAGAAGCAGGCTCCCTGTGGGGAGCCAATGCGGGACTCGATCCCAGGACCCCGGGATCACGCCCTGAGCCAAAGGCAGATGCTCAACCACTGAGCCACCCAGGTGCCCCTAAAAATTCACAGACGATTCTATGTCATTAAATTGAAAAGCTCTGGCTTCCCTTCCTGGCTACAAAACAATTCAAGTCATGTTGTTCTTGGCTCACAGCATCTCAAACCTGCTGGAGCTTCATTTACCATCATTCTAGCTTGAGAGGAATTTGATTTTTCTTGTTCCCTGTGAGATTCGTTTTCTTTTTGGGGAGGTGACTATAATAGGATGAGTGAATAATAAGCCTTTTCTTAGTTACTCATGATTTATCAGAAAATATTGTTGACTCAAAATATGTCAAGTCTCCAACCATACCTTGACACCTCCACTGCTGCCCCCCCCCCCCCCCCCCCCCCCCCGCTGCCTTAAACCACCACCACATCCCAGGATATTTGCAACAGCCTCCTGACTGGTCTTACTTCTGCCATTTACCCTCTCTGTTTTCTAGAAAATAGCTGGAGTAAACTTCAAACATGAGTCAGATCCTGTTACTCCCACAGTCTTCTCCCCAACTGAACACCGCCCTGCACCCCCACCACCTGCACCAACAGTGGCTACAAAGTAAAGGCTGCATCCTTATGATGGCCCATGTATACCTCCTGTCTTCTCATTCTCCTTTTTGTGTGGTCCACTTCATCACACTTGTTTCCCTGTTCTTCCTGAATATGCCAAGGCCTTTCTACTCGCCATTTCCTCTTCTGGAAAGGCTGTTCCCCAGACACTTGCATGACTGGCTTCCTCGTGACTTTTAGGTTTCTGCTCAAAGGATGCCTTTACCATCTTATTGGTGAGGGCTTCCCTAAGCTGCTTCTATGACAGAACAAGCCCATCTTCTCCTCCCCAGACTTCATGATACTTTTTAATCCCCTACTTTTCTTACTTTTCCTCCATGTACCACCTGAAATGAATGTATTTATTACTGAATCAGAGCCTGCTACTCATAAAAAAACTATTTTTAAAAAATATTCTATTTATTTATTCATGAGAGACACAGACAGAGAGGCAGGCTCCATGCGGGGAAGCCCGACATGGGACTCAATCCCAGGAATCCAGGATCACACCCTGAACCAAAGGCAGACGCTCAACTGCTGAGCCACCCAGGCATCCCCATGAAAAACTATTCTTACCTGGTTATTGCAACCCCATGTGGTTTCTCTACCAAAGGCTAATTTACCAACTTCTCTTGTATCTAGGTTTGTCCATAACACAAAGTTCTGGGCCAACAAGATGTGAATGGAAGTGATATATATTATTTCAGGTTTGTGCCCTAAGAAGGAAAAGGTATGTGCTCCCCTTGCCTTCCCCCCCTCTCCCCACCTTTCCTCTGGCTAGGTTGTAGAGACAATGGCAGGAACTGTGGCAACCACCTGGGATCCAGAAACAGAAATCTTGTGATAAGGATGGCTGAGCTGCTCTCCTGGCCCTGGACCATGACATGAGAGAGAAACTTTAAGCCACTGTTTTTTTTAAAGATTTGTTCAAATAAATTAGGCTGTACTCTGACCCATTGTCTGACTCTCTTCTTACCTTCTCAGAGTAAGTTCTATAAAAGCAGATACTTTTTGTTTATTTTTTTATCCCCATCAACTAGAACTGTACCTGGAATATAGTGGGTGCTCACTAGATATTTACAGGCTGAATGGGTTGATGAAGGACAACTAGTTGAAAGGGATGGTGGAGCTTGAAGACTTGGATTTAACAAAAAATGATTGAGTTTGAAATCTTTTGCTCTCTGAATGGGGAACAGCACAATATAGAGTTGAAGGTCTAGGTGAGGTGGCAACAACCACAGCCCACAAATCAGTTTAGAAGCTTCATGGGGTAAATTGTTGGGTGTTTATACTAACCTACACTAATTCAGAAGCAGTCAGAGGGTAAAAGAAAACTTTTGTCTCCTCTACTACTTTCAGTACTCTGGATGAAACCACCAAATCTGTTGGTTTTCCACACCAAGCAATTCTGACACTAACTACCTGGATTTGGCACAGATACCACATAAGGTATTAAGGGCTCAGCCCCATAAGACCTCCCCTTCTTCAGACACTGATCACAATAGTGGGACTCCAGGTTACCCACTCTTCTGTCAGTCTTGGCTGCAGATCAGGGGCTCCCATCATCCCCTCTTCAGGTTTGATAATTTGTTATAATGGCTCACAGATTCTGGGAAACATGTTTATCAGTTTATGATAAAGAATAAAGGCAAGGATACAGATGATCAGCCAGGTGAAGAGGTAGGACAAGGTCCAGAAGGGTCCCAAGTGCAGGAGCTTCTGTCCCTGTGGAGTTGTGGTGTCCACCCTCCTGAAATGTGTATGTATTCACCAACACAGCAGCTTTCTGAACCCCATAGTTTAGGAATTTTTTATGGAGGCCTTATTAAGTAGACATGATGGATTATTGTCTCAATCTCCACTCCTTCTCCTCTCTGGAGGATGGAGGTGGAGGGAGAGGCTAAAAGTTCCAACCTTCTAATGATAGCTTGGCCTTTCTGGTGACCAACCTCCATCCTGAAGTTACCTAGGAGCCCACCATTAGAACAAAAGACACTTTCCATTACCCAGGAAATTCCAAGAGATTTAGAAGCTCTGTATCAGGAACCAGGGGCAGAGACCAAATATATATTTCTTACTATGTCACAGCTCAGGTCTTGATCTTGGGGTTACAGGTTCAGGCCCCTACTGCATTTGGCCCCGTGCTGGGTGTGGAACTTACTTTAAAAAAAAAAAAAAAAGAAAAGAAAAAGATACTGGCTGAAAAGGCAGGGTACTGTACTGGTGATGAGCATTAGTGTTGAGTCCCAGTCTCCCCCACCTAAGAGCTATATGACCTTGGGAAAGTTTCTTTACTCCTCTGAGTCTCAGTTTCTTCCTCTGGAAAATGAGAAAAATAACAGAACATACCTTATGGGTTTGTTATGAAGATCAAATGAGATCATGTATTTTATGCACTTAGTAGAGTAGCTGGAACATGGTAAATATTTGATCAGTGTTTCATTGTTATTATTATTATGGTTAGGAAGGCATTTCCTGCAGAATAGCATCTCCAGAGTGCATTCCATTCCCAACAAGTATTGCTTTAAGACATCTCTAGTGATTTAAGAGTCACCTCCCTAGGTATCTTGCATTGGAGCAATAAGACCTTCTTTTTCTAAAACATCACCTAAGAAGGAAATTCCACAATTTACTTGCCAGGCCTTTGATTATGTAGAACCTTCAAGTATCTGCTATGTATCATGATAGGAACAAAATGAATTAGAAAACAAAAGACCTTATTTATAGTGTCTGGTACTAGTGCTCTATAAAGACCTATATTTTATGGAAAATACCTTTTAAAAAAAATCCGATGATGTTTGCAATACTTCCCATCAATCTTCTCAGGAAAAATGAAATACTCATTAAATACTTCTTTCCTATTTCTGATTTCTGAGTTGAAATCTCTGAATTTTGAGGATTTAACACAGAAGCAAGCCACATGAATAAAAATGAGGACACACTATTCAGTAGCACAGAGAGGTACACACCTTATAACCAAAAGGAGAATATGCAAATATTTGGGAAATGTTTAAGTTAAAATTTTAAAATGGCGGACGCCTTTGGCTCAGTTTGTGATCTCAGGGTTCTAGGATCAAGTCCTGCATCAGGCTCCCCACAGGGAGCCTGCTTCTCCCTCTGCCTATGTCTCTGCCTCTCTCTCTCTGTATCTCTCATGAATAAATAAAATCTTTACAAAAAAAAAAAGAAATTTTAAAATGGGCTTGATGGAGCCAAGTTGATGATTTATGGGTCAATCATTTCTTCTTGTTTAAAGTATTTCATGTGTTTCCTCTCAGCATTTTCAAGATGAAAGTCTTGTTTTTGCCACTATTCAGGAAGCAAAGTTTCCCCAACAATATAAAGAAGACTTTCTTATTTAAACTACAGTCCAAGGAGTAGCAAACAAGGAAGATGATAGTTCTGAGACCTCAAGATTTCTTTTCTTTGGCCAAGAACACATTCTGTACTACGCCAGAAAGAGTAAAGCAGGGAACTAATAAAGCTTAAGCAGTTCTCCAGTATTTGATCTTTGAAGACCAAACATGGATGCTGGCCTACTGTCTCAAGGTAGTAAAGAGGTAATCGCTTGGGAATGGTTAAGTATTTTGAGAGAGAGATTGAGATTTTCATTGATCTTGGGACTTGAACAGCACCAGGCACGCAGAAAAAGGAATCTTGTAGCAAAAAATGGAAAACACAGATTAGTGAAATGAAATAAGGACTAAATTATCTCAGTTGCTTCACATGATCAAGAGCAGTGATTATAAATTTACCAGAAAGTAGGAGGAAATTCATATCACTCTTTTAATATCATACCTTTTTAAGATTCAAGAGAATAGAATATACCTAAAGACATCAGCTTTATTTTGTTTGAGCCTTGTGTAAGTTTTTAGTTTCTACTTGGTAGGATTCTAATTTTCTTTATTTTTTTAAGATTTTATTTATTTATTTATTCATAAAAGACACGGGGGGGGGGGGGGCAGAGACACAGGCAGAGGGAGAAGCGGGCTCCATGCAAGGAGCCTGATGTGGGACTCGCTTCCGGGACTCCAGGATCACACCCTGGGTGGAAGGCAGGTGCTAAACCACTGAGCCACCCAGGGATTCCCGGATTCTAATTTTCTTTGTTTTTTTGTTTTAAGATTTTATTTGTTTATTCATGAGAGACACAGAGAGACAGAGACATAGGCAGAGGGAGAAGCAGGCTCCTCAAGGGGAGCCTGATGTGGGACTCAAACCCAGGACCCCAGGATCACCACCTGAGCCAAAGGCAGACGGTCAACCACCGAGCCACCCAAGTGTCCCATGATTCTAATTTTCAAATGCATTGGAGGAAAACTCTTTAGGCCAAGAGGGAGTGTGAAACCGAGTTCAGATATAACCCTGGGTAAAAGTTACTCAGTGTTCTTAATATAATTCCCAATCCTAGGGTTGGGACTTAAACTACTTGAATTTTTTCTGGAGATGTGTTTCATCTGGTTTGACATGTCTAGACTCAAGATCCATATTATAATGCATAGAATAATGAGCAGGAGAAAGGCACATTGGTCAACCTGTATATATACCAACCAGAGGGATACTTTCAGCAAATGAATATACCCTTGTTTCCTCAGGCTCCTTTATTCCTCTGCCTGCTGCACTTTGAAAAGTGAAGAAAAATTATTTTGCTTATTGAAGTGTCTTTGAAGGGGATTTTTTCCCCTGATGTCTTTTTAAGTGTTTGAATTGTTGAATTGTTCACAGTTTCTTTCACATTACTGTTAAGGGACTGGGCAATAGAAATTATTCTTAAGTGAGTATTTTGTTTCAGAAACAGCAAGTATGTGTAGAGAACACAATTTTAGGATTAGCAGGAGAGTTAACCAAGGTAAAATTTGAATTTCAATCCTTGGCCTAGAGAAAAAAGGTAAGAAACTTTTTCATTTTCTTTCTTTCTTTTTTTTTTTTTTTTTTTTACTTTTTCATTTTCTAAAGGAGGTGTATTTCATGGTATTATGATTGTGGGATGTGTTTAGATGGGAAAGGGCATAATCAATCTTTCTGGATTCGAATATGCATATCATTTATAGTGGAAGAAAGCAGAGTCTCAGGAATTGGCAGACAAGTCAACTAAAACTTGTTAAGGATTTAGAGGATTTGAAGAACATGCTTAACAAAATTAGTCATAACTACTCTTATACCCACACCACCTTGTATCCAAAATAGAAAACGTATATCTCGAATTTACATAAATACTGATGAAAACCAGCCATGTGTAAGATGACAAACGAAAGCTCAACAAGTATTGAAAAAGTTGAAACCATAGAAGCACATTCACTAATCATAGTGCAAGGACATAACTAAAAATATTTCTCCTTGATCTATATACTGTTAGAAAAAAGCACATGGACTAAAGAGGACATATAAATAAAAGCTATATACTTTTCAGTAAACAATAATAACAAAGAGAGCATTATAAAAACTTATATGAAGAGGTCAGAGGAAAATTCATAGCTCTATAATACATTTATGAGAAAATGAGAACTATTAAAAATAATGAAGTAAGCTTTTAACTTAAAAGTTAATAAAGGGACAGCAAAACAGGAGGGAAGTAGAGGAATAGATTAGGATAGAAGCAGAAATGAATAGATCATACTTCCCCACTTTCCCCAAATAGAATTAATCAATAAACCCAAAATCTCGTTCTTTGAAAGAAAATTAAAGGATTATTCCTTTGGTAATTTCATATTGAAAGAGAAAAAGTACAGCACTATACCAGCAATGTTAAATATAGAAGATATTTTAAGTGTTATGTGTATTTTGATACATATATTTGCAAATGTAGACAAAATATTTAATTTTTAATACAAGTGATCAAAGTTGCCCTAAGAAAGGTAGAATAACTGAATAAAAATAGCTGAGGGAGAAACTGAAAAGATAGGCAAAGACCTACCCTTAAAAACAGCACCAGGTCCAAAGAGTTTCACCAGA